CAGAGTTGTAATTTCCTCTGCTGAGGAGCTAATGTTTTATTTTCCTTCAGTGGGACATCTCCAAACCACTTCAGCTGATTTCTTTGATATTTAGTGGACAGTCGGGATGAAATTCATTTAGCAGAATCACATGAGTCCTGAGAGAGTCCAATTAATTTACCTTCAATTCTGAAGTGATGTCAGCCTTAACAACTCAGAGCAGAGCCGTAAGCACTGTTCAAGCAATGCTTTCAGAAGTTTCGACCAAAATCCTGAATCCTAAGCTTCAAAATGTGAGTTCACAAACTAATGGGTGAAGCCAGGGGCGTCTGGCAAGCAGGAAAATCCTAAAATCTGATGTAGTATTGTAATGTGGAGAAAAGAAAGTCATCTAATCATTTCCTTGTGAGCTCCAGTAGATTTGTTTATAGGCAGTGATCAGCTGACCTGCTCTGCTGCTCTGAGATTATCTGGATTGAACCTGTTCATTCAGAAGCTTTCATAAGTCTAATCAGCATCTTCAGTTTAAATTTAAAGTGTTGTCCAGTACCCTTGATGTAACTTAACACTGACCTGAATAACACAGTTTACCCTTTACCAGTCCAACATAACGTATTACCATAAACTTCACCACAATGCTGCAAACTACCGAGTTTTGCCAGTTTGCATACTACCCTGTATTTTCAGATAGTTTTCGGCACAAAATGATAATAATTCTGTTTATTTTTTAAGATGTTTCACAAAAAAAATATTATGGGGTCCCCACCTTTAATCTGTGAGTCTTTTTGTCACTTTACATGCAGAATATAATAATAACATCATAATAACACTCCAGTTATCAAATAAATCATGTTGAATTACAAACCTTTTTTTCATTATTTCAATATCTTTTATCTAAGCCTAAACTGCAGTCTTTGCAGTCTTTGCTTTCATTTGAATGTGTTTACAGTATCAGAGTAAACTCGGCCAGTGTTGCAGTGGAAGGATTTGTGTGCAAGATACAGCAATGAATTAATGTGCCAGCAGCAAGCGTCTTGTGCCAACTGCTGCAGGCGTCACTGATCGCAGAGCTGCAGCACTTTGTATGAATGTTCAGGTGTGTCCATAATAATAACAGCCTAAATCCTGCAACAGCTTCTTCCCCCAATCTCTCTGTCTTTTTGCTACATCACCTCTCTATCCTACCAAATATAGATTATTCCTCCCACCCTTATGTCTTCTGCTGAGTGTGCATAATAAATTGAATCTCCTGTGCTCAGTGTTGAAGATACTCTGTCTGCATACAAACCAGTTTCTGCCTGTTGGTGTGCAAAGCGCTGCTGGTTTCCTTCTGCAGTGGCTCAGAAGGACGAGCGGAGAGTCAGAGGGCTTGGAGATGGGAGGTGGATAATGCTCTGTGTGTTCAGCACGTGCACATTTGCATGTATTTGTTTGTAAAATGAGCCAGCAGGTTTGTTTGTGAGGCAGCATTTATCGATACTTTACTCACATTTTGATGCTTTGATGTGAATCCGCAATAAAAGAATCAATGCTAAAGCTGCAGAAACCTGCAGAGAACATAGAGCACAGAGTGACAAAGTGACTGCACAAAGGCTTCAGTCACGTCCAAATTTACAGTTAGTACTTTTCCCTTCAGTGTTTTACATAACACTTTGCATATTTCCCAACAGGGAATGCGGCAGGTGGGTGGATTTGTAAATGTACATCTGCGGATTTGTGTACTGTACTTACAAACTGATGCACAAAGTCAGGAAGAAGCAAAGAAAAGAACATTCAGTTTCTTTTTTAGATAGTCTGTACTTATAAGTGTTGGTTTCTTTTAAGCATTGAGGGGCATTAACTCCACTTATTCAATTTTTGCAGTAACTTT